TGGCATCATTAAGCTCATTTTTACAGAAAAGGATACTGAGGCTCAAAGAGACTGGGTGACCTGCCCAGGTAGCCAATCTGGGGTCCATGGCAAAGCCAAGCTTCCAGGCCAGCTGTGACTTAGCATGTGGCCCTTCTTCAGTGGCTCCTGCTGGCTCACATCCCTGTTAATCATGCTTCCTGCTTATTCTCAGTAACAGCAATAGACAAAAATTTGGGAGGACGTAGGACAAAGTCCATATAGCAATATTAGAAAATTGCTCATAAATATTTAAATTTGTTGTTGTTCAGTTGCTTAGTCATGTCCAACTCTTTGCGACCCCATGGACTGCAGCACACCAAGGTTTCCCTGTCCTTCCCCATCTCCCAGAGCTTGCTCAAACTCATGTCCATTAGAGTTGGTGATGCCATCCAACCATCTCATCCTCTGTTGCCCTCTTCTCCTCCTTTGTTTCATGTAACAGGCATGTGTCCTGCCTTGTTTTGGCAAATTCTTCCAGGTTGGCCCAGCCGCAGTATGTGGGTGTCCTTCTTTGATCTGCCTGCCTCCCACATTGCTCCCAGCAGAGATGCTGCTGTGACTGCCACTTTGGTGTTAGCAGATGGAAAGACCTTTTACTCAATAACCCATTTTAGGGTGGCTTTCCTACTCTTGTGAGATATCACTTGTGCTGCAAGAGCAGATCCAACTCTTCAAGCCACAAGGAAGCTTAAATACCGTGCCGTAGCTCGGTTTGGCACTTGATGTATCTGAGTCTGATTTCACGGTTCTGTCAAGGGAGCCACTGAACTGCGTGTGCTCAGTCACTCAGCCGTGTCCGACTCTTTGCGACCCCATGGACTGTAGCCCGCCAGGCTCCTCTGTCCATGGGATTCTCCAGGCAAGAACACTGGAGTGTGTTGCCATGCCCATGTCAATCTTCCCAACCCAGGGATTGAACCTAGATCCTCCCGCGTTGCAGGTGGATTCTTTACCATCTGAGCCACCAGGGAAGCCCATGAATACTGGAGTGGGTAGCCTATCCCTTCTCTAGGGGATCTTCCCATCCCAGGAATCAACCTGGGGTCTCCTACATTGCAGGTGGATTCTTTGCCAGCTGAGCTAATGGCTATAGTTTTAGCTAATGTGTTGCCTAGGTTGCAGAGGCCTGTGAATTCTTTCAGTTTGACCTCATGTTTTTTTCTCCCTTTGAAATTTTTACCCTTTCCTGTGTCTGTGAAATTCAAACCACTTTAATCCCACAGTCTCTGATTTCCAGCTTTGCCTCCTGCCCCTTCCACAAGGTCTCAGTCACCCTGGCAGCACCACCAGCCGGCTCTTCTCCACTTCCAGCCCCCGGGCCTTGGTTACAACCAGTTTGTCTGTGCGCCTTCCTTTCACATCCCCTCCATCCAAGGGCCTGTCTGCCTGCCTTCCACCACTTTGTCATTCAAAGTCTGGTTTCTGGACCTGCAGCATCAGCAGCAGTTAGAAGCCTCAGGCCCCGCCCCAGACCTAGTGGATCCGAATCTGCATTTTCACAGGGTTCACAGGTGATCTCTATGCACAGATTTGAGAAGCGCTGCTTTAAGTCACGTGTCTTCCATGGATTGTGTCCTAAATAACGGAATAGAAATGAGCCCAGTCATTTTGTGGGAAGAAGTGGATAAAAAGGTGTTCTTGTTTTTTGTTTTTTCCATCCATTTATTCATCTCTGGACAATACCTTGATCACTTCTAGGGATAGGAAGAAATACATATGTTTGGGGATAGATGGCTTTACCTACCCATATGGGTCAAGTTAAGGCATTGGGAGAAGCTTGGATAATTAGTTGATAGACTGTTCCAACAAGGAAGGATTCAAATAACAACCATCATGACTGTGTTGAAAGTTCTGCGGAAAGAATATTTGAATCAAGAAATAAGTTATATTTAAAATTGGAAAAAAAAAGTATATACAGTTGTTTTGGTCTGTCTGGGCCTCTAGAACAAAGATGCCATAGACCAGGTGGCTTATAAACAAACTTGTTTCTCACCGTTCTGGAGCCTGGCAGTCTGAGGTCGGGGTGCCACCATGACTGGTGGGTGCCCTCTCCTAGGCCACAGATTTCTCTGCTCCCTCATGTTGAGGAGGCAGTGAGCTGGTTCTCTGGGGTCTCTTTGATAAGGGCACTAATCTCATTCATGAAGGCTCCACCCTCGTGACTTAATCACCTCCCAACTGCCTCACTTCCTCATACCATCCACTTGTGAATGTTTCAGGGACGCAAGCATTCAGACCATAGCAAAATTATAAATACAGTTGACCCCTGAACAACACAGATTTTAAATGTGGAGGTCCCTTTATACTCAATTTTTTTCAGCTTAAATACTGTAGCCATACACGATTATGGTTTGTTGAATCCAAGGACACTGAGGAAACAAACCTTGGATACCTAGGGAGGATTTTCGACTGTATGGAGGCTTGGTGCTTCTAATCCCTGTGTTGTTCAAGGGGCGATTGTGTAAAAATTTTGTATCTCTCTAAAAGGCAGCTAAACAAAAAGTTTATGTATAAACTAAATTAAGGATTGGATAGGCCACATAACACCTATTTTTAACTTTTTAAAAGTGCATTTCTACCCCGTGGTGGAAATATTACTTAATATGGGGTTCAGTGAAAGGACAGGTCATTTCCCGAGGGAGAGTGACCAGTGTTTTTCCTTAAGGCAAGTTTCATCATGTCTTTACACATTAGCCGCTCCACTGCCTGGAAAGGCTGTGCAGTAAAATGGGTGGTGTAGGAGTGGGGGATACGGACCCCTAGCCAAGTGATGAAGAGGGCAGCGAGATGATGAGTGGTCAGACTGATGCAAGTCCTGCCTCTCTTCTCAGAACCTACCTCTTCTTTGATCTGCCCTTACTCTGCTCCTGCAGGCCTGTTAGTAGCAGTAGTATCCATGTCTCTTCTTTCTTTCTTTTCTTTAAAAATCCTCAGGATTTTAAAATATCTGGCTGGTAAGTTTAAGGCCCTGAATTTTGAGGGAATAGAATTTGGTAGGTTATATCCATATGCTACCTAAAAGAGTTTCTCCATAGGTTAATTAAAAGAGTCCCCTCATACCCCCGGGTCTCTCCCTCTCTCTCACACACACACCCACACAGTTGTTCACTGCTGTGTCAGAGAACTTGATCCCCAGGTAGGAAGTGATACTGGCCATCTAAATACAAAGGTCTTTAAAAAAAAATGTGTTTTTCCAGGCTCTGACCCACTTTGCTTCCATGCAAAAGATTTTCCTTTCATAAGAGCACCAGTTGTTGACTATGCTTTAATGATGTAAAAGCTTGGTGTTAGAAAACTAGAAAGGCGTTCATTTACATTGGCTATAAAGCTGAGAATGTAGAACACCCATACTTTGAAGAAACATTGTTCTCATTTCTGTGAACAGCAGGGGCATCTGTTTCAACTGGACCCTACCTAGAGCTGCAGCCCTTCAAAGTGGGCCATGCCCACAAGGAGCAGATGCTGGCCACCTGAAATGGGGGTGGTGGGCAATGTTCCAGTTCTCCTTCAGAAGTCTAACGGTATCGAAACCTAACACTTGAAACAGATGGAAACTAGAGCTCAGGGTTTAGATCCTCTTCAAAGGACAAAAGGTGCAGAATCGAAAAGTGTTAGATTTAGAAAACCTGTGATCAGTTAAATGGATTAGGAAAATGATGATGGGAAAGTGTTATTGTGTAATGAAAGGAAAATAGACGAATGGGTGATTTTTTTTCCTTACGAGTCTATCCATGATAAAAAGCACTTAAATAAGCATACGTATTGAGATGTGTGTATGTGCTACATGTCATGATATTTAGGCCAAGTTAATTGACATGTAGGGTTGTCTTAGTAATTTGAAGATTAAACTAATACTGGATATATAAAGGTAGTGTATAGATGCACAAATATACTTTTATTTCATCATAAATACATAATCATATAAGTGAGCTTTCTGTGATGACTTAGGTTATTCTGGTGGCTTTTGGTCGGCACCTTGAAATTGAGTTATGCTGGTTTGGTACCTTTGATTGAGGGTCAGTATTCAACTGGTTTTTATAGGAGTCACCTGACCTGGCCATAACGAAACAGTAAACCAAAACCAATATGAACTTGAGTATTGCAGAAAAATGTGTCTTATGGAAGTTGCTCATTTGTTTGATTTCAGAGCTTCGTGGTTTCGTCTATTGATAAAACTTTTTCCTGTGCAGCAGTGTTTTCTAAGCCATGACCCACAAAGCATTATTTTCCTGCATTGTTAATACGGATTCAACTATGACAGCTTATCTACTGCAGGACTTCTCAGAGCCTTTGACAGTACTAATATATCCTGTGACGCTTTTAAAGTGAGATATAGTATCTGATGTTGCCCAAACTTATTTCATTTTACCAGCTGCGCCTCCCACCACTACTTTTTTTTCTTGATGGAATATCTCCCAGGGAAGATAATTTGGAAAATGATACTCTAGCATTTTTATATGTAGTTTTTCATTTACCATCTTAGCAGACCTGAGAAACAGGAAAAAACTCTGTTGTCCCTTTTTGGATGAGGGAGGCTCTAAGAACCACTGGAGTTCATGTTGGCGCCTAGACTTAGGTCTCCTAGTAGTTCACCCATCTTTCATCTCTCTTGATGCTTTCAGTTCAGGTCAGAGACACATCTCATACAGCGGGCAGGGGAGGAGGGTTATGTGGGCTGCGTGCTGAGCTGAAGTTCCTCTGTCCCTTGGCTGGTCCCCAGGGCTCTGTAGTCTCCTAATTCTAGAGACCTCCCTAATTCAAGGGAGGCCTCCCTAATTCTAGCAAGTGGATGATGGCAATTGAGGGAGTTAATTCTCATGTGTTGTATATAAAGTAATGATCTAGGCAGCCGCACCCCCTCACACTTGCCCAGGTGTGCTGTAAGTAGGAACGTTATCCAAATACTCAACCGGGTTCGCTTGATTTTACTTCCCGGTTTTCACCCGATGGTACTATGTCATGTTTTGCTCTTTTTATAGAAAGAAATTCAAGCCATGAGTCAGTGCAGCCATCCCAACGTAGTGACCTATTACACCTCTTTTGTGGTAAAAGACGAACTTTGGCTGGTCATGAAATTACTAAGTGGAGGTAAGTGGGTTTTTTCATTATTTGCTTGTTTTTTCTTTTCCTTTTGTTTGAGTCAGCATATTGAATAAGATTTCAGATATGATCCCCTTCCTCCTGTATTTAGAAGTTTTCTTGGTTCATTATTTGCCTAGAGAGTAAAGTCTGGATTTCTTCATGTTCATATTCAAAGCCTTTCATAATTCAGCGTAACTCCTGGAGTATCTGTGTCCTCGTCTACCTTCTTGGTGTGGGTGAGACTTCCCAAAAGTCTTCTCCTCTCTGAGGCCTCTCTGCTGCTCCTTAGCCCTGGATGTCAGTCTGTCCTTCTCCATGTGCTCATGTCCTGAAAGATCTCATCATCTCTGCAGCCACCCTTTGTCTCTTCAGAAAAGTTAAAGCATTCATTCTTAACATTATTCAAGTCTTTCACACCTTGTAATATAACAAATTATTTCACTGCCGTTTGTTAAAAGGTCTGTGCTGATGGAAATGTTCTGCGTTGTGCTATCAAGTTTCTTCTGGTGGCTCAAGTATTTGACATGTGGCTAGTGTTACTGAGGGACTGAATTTCTATTCAATTTTAATCAACTTTATTTAAATAACCTCAGGTGGCCAGTGGCTACGGTATTGGACAGGGTATTTTCAGACTGTGGGTTTCATGAAGGAACACGTGGGAAGGGGAAGGAACTTTCTCTCTCCAGCCTCAGATCATGGAAGTTAAAAAAGCCACAGGCAAGAGTCAGACATGACTGAGCGACTGAACTGAACTGAATGTAATTTGTAAGACACTTTCCCACTCCCGTATTTTTTTTTTCCTTTTCATCTTCTAACCTCACTCTTGGATAGGGAAGGATCATCATCATGGTTAGTTTCCTTGAATGCTTTCTCCATGGTTAGATCCCTTGCAAGGTGATTTATTGCCTTATTTCATGTAATCTGGGCAACACCCTTGAATGGCAGATGTCGTCATCCATGTTTTTCAGAAAGTACACAAGAGCCCAATAGAATTAGGCAGCTTGCCCAAGGTCACACACGTCATAACTGTTGATGCTGGGAGCTGTGTACCTACAAGCCACACTGCCCTGCAAGTTTCATCACCTTCATTGTGCAGACCTGAAAATTGGAGCTGAGACAGCACAAGCATACCCAACACCCAGCATCCCTTCCTCCCTGTATATCCGTCTTTCTGAGAGATGAAGTATATTAGGAGCAGGGGAGAACATCAGGGTAGTGCCTGGATGCAGTCAGAATGGACAGAGTGGGGTTGTTCCTGTGGAGCCCACTTTTATTTGCAAGCCCAGTTCAGCTAAGGCTGAATCAGGGAAACATCTGAAAATTTTTTTTTTTTTTAAAGAAGAAACTGTCTTGGATTCAGCAAGGCCCTGCCATGAGATGATGAAGGCATTGTAATTGCCTTGGGTTTGCTTGTGTAAGTCTCGGTAGGGAGCCCGGGAGAACTTAGTTCGGTTCTGTTCCCAGTCTTGTCAATCCTATTAGTCATTGTTTCCTTGAGTGCTGACTCTGGTTTTTAATTAAGAAGGAAAGGAGAAAAAGGAAGCCCTTGGAGCTGACTGCAGTGTTGAGCCTCAGGACTTGGTCTTGGTTCTGCTGAGGGTGGTGCTTTATCAATGATGATCTTAACCAGGTCTCTTCCTGTGGGGTCCACCAACTAAGGAAACAAGTAATTCTGGTAACCTGGGACCTTGCAGGTTTTACTTCCTCTCTTTATTTTTAATCCCAATTACTTTGTATAAGCTTGAAAGTATCCCCTGTGCCCGTCCTTGTGGACTGGATAGAAAATTTCATTGTCTTTTTAAAGGAATTAAATTTAGCCTTCCCAGGCTTTAGGTAAGAGGAACAAGTTGTAAACAGGTTTCCACAGGTAAGGGGAATGTGGGCAGACATGGCCCACTTTTCTTTCAGCAGTCCAGAAATGCATGGGTGTGTGCGTGCTGAGTCCCTTCAGTCACGTCTGCCTCTTTGCGACCCGGTGAACTGTAGCCTGCCAGGCTCCTCTGTCCAAGGGATTCTCCAGGCAAGAATACTGGAGTTGGTTGCTGTGCCCTCTTCCCAACCCAGGGATTGAACCAGAGTCTCTTATGTCTCCTGCATTGGCAGGTGTGTTCTTTATTAACAGTGCCACCTGGGAAGCCCCAGAAATGCGTCCATGCCTGGTATGGTATATCCTTATAAGATTAAAAAGTAAAATGTTTTTGGAAGTATTATTTCTCAATAATCCAAAAATCCAAGAGTCAGCCAATAAAGAGATGTTTTGTTTCTCTCAGAGTGGGGAAACTATGCATTTGTTTTCTTCTATGCTGTTTTATCACATCAGATCTCTTAATGAGGGGCAGGTGGCTAGTCTGCTGCAGAAATACCTGATGGGGGAACTCAATCCTCCCAGTTAATCAGAGAGTGCCTGGAGCCAAACTCAGGTCCTGAGGTGAGCTATTTGGTAACTCTTCAGAAATGTTGAACCCCCAGGTAATTATGGCTCTTAAAATGCCCAGGAGGTTTAGAATATTAATTCACATGTGTTGAAACATGAATTCAGAGTGCCAAGGATACTAATCTGTTTATAGTAACAAAGTAGTATGCATTTATTTCTTTATTATTAAACTCAGTGCATCAGAGTCAAGTAAATGGAACAAAGATTGCCTAGAGTCACAGAAAGCAGTCTTCTAGTTATAAGCAGGGGTGTCTAGAAGCAATGTACGTTCTTCTCGCTTCTGCCACCTGTGTCTTAGGCGTTACAGAAGAACTGTGCTGCTTTCTCTCAGCAGTTCCCTGCTGTCTTCTCCCCTGCTCCTGGTCTTTTCTTTTTCTGCTTAGACATCCTGAACCTCCTTTTAATCTGTAACCAATTGCATGTCTTGGGGAAAGGGACTGCCTCTGCAGTGGCCACGCACAGGCTTCTGCTTCTTGCCCCAGAACCCCCCTCATTAAGTTCAGCAGGATGTGTGCTTGCCGGCTTGGATTTAATGTTTTTCTGGCCATGGGCTGCCATGCAGTTGTTTGTATTGGAAATATCTGTACTAAATAAACAAAAAATTGATGTTCGCATTTAGTTTTTTAAATAGGGAGCCCTGTTCTGGAAAGATCATGAAGGTGCTTGCTTATACAGTTGTTTAATTCTGTCTGTCCATTTAGGTTCAATGTTGGATATCATAAAATACATCGTCAATCGAGGAGAACACAAGAACGGAGTTCTGGAAGAGGCAATAATAGCAACAATTCTTAAAGAAGTTTTGGAAGGCTTAGACTATCTACACAGAAATGGTCAGATTCACAGGTATGGCTTCTGCAGAGCTGTTTCAATTCAGCTGTTCGCATCTTCAGTCCTAGTTAGCAGAGAATGTTAAGGAAACACACCTCACAGTTAAGTATGGACATTTTTCTAACTCGCATGTGTGTGCTCAGTCGTTAAGTTGTGTCTAGCTCTTTGCAACCCCATGGACTGAAGCCCACAGGCCTCCCCTTTCCATATGATTTTCAAGGCAAGAGTAGTGGAGTGAGTTGCCATTTCCTTCTCCAGGGGATCTCCCCAACCCAGGGATCGAACCCATGCTTCCTGAGTCTCCTGCATTGGCAGGTGAATGGGTTCTTTATCACTGAGCCACCTAGGAAGCCCCATTTCTAACTTAGGTTGGCATCTCTAGTTTTATAACGCAGGCAAGCGTGTTCCAAACATGTAATATGTTAATTATTTTTGACGTGGTGGTGGAAGAGGAGGAGAGGCACTAATTTCATCTCTTCTGTGACATATAATGCTAATTCTTTAAATAGCGAAATAGCATATAGAATGTGAGCACTTGATGTTTCAAATGGGTTAGTGTTACCTGGGCTCTTAGGAATAGTTGCAAGTAAACAACCATTAACTATAATACTAATATTTGTAATGCCCCTGCCCTGAACTATGAGTGATCTGTACAGTTTATGATATTTACTATGTCTGTTAATGATTAGAAAAATACTACTTTAGAAATCAAACTTGTAAATTGTCGTTTTTCTTAAGTGGTAAGGCTACTGAGCACAACTTTTATATAGTGAAGAAATACAGACTATTATAATTAATATTTGTAATCAGTTTCTTCCCAGAAAAGAGACTGATCAAATCCATTGTCTAAGAGTCTGATGGGTTTGATTTGAAATTGTACCACAGACAAATTTAAGTTGAAGTAAAGCAGTTTTACATAGACTGGGCTTTAATTCTTGATAAAATGATAGTATTGTTAAGTATGTGGACAATCTCTAATTCTGTAGCATAAAGTATCTACTCCCTATTGTTTTAATTAAGTCTGGATAATAATATCACAAAAACTAAGTGTTAACTAATATAAAACCCTAACCATCCTTCAGGAACAAACTATAAAATCACTGTGTACCCTTGTCACTTTTAAATTTGTTTTCCAAACATTATATTTGTAAAATATTAATTATGTCAAACAGCTAAATTATATGATATGTTTTAAAATCTCCCTGAGTGAATTAATGCAATATATTGTCTGTACCCTAGCATTAAATTCTCTGTCTTTTTCCAAATAGGGATTTGAAAGCTGGTAATATTCTTCTGGGTGAAGATGGTTCAGTACAAATAGCAGGTAAAGCTGACAAAGATAAAGCATTCTCTGCTTATTTATGAAGTGTTACAGCTTCAAAGAATGTAGAGTCCTTCCTAAGAAATTAATAAATGCATGTAGTCTGTTTTTTTTTACTTGATGTATAGTTGATGTACAATTTTATGTAAGTTGCAGACATACAATGTAGTGATCCACAATTTTTAAAGTTAATATTCCATTTGTAGTTATTATAAAATACTGGCTATGTTCCCCGTGTTGTGTAGTATATCCTTGTAGCTTGTTTTATACATAATGGTTTGTACCTCTTGTACTGCCCCTTCCCACTTCCCTCTCATTGATAACCACTAGTTTGTTCTAAGTCTGCTGCTTTTCAGTTATATTCACTAGTTTGTTTTATTTTTTAGATTCTGCACACAAGTGGTACCCTACAGATTTTGTCTTTCTCTGTCTGACTCATTTCACTTTTAGCATAATGCCCTCCAAGTCCATCCATGTTGTTACAAATGGCAACATTCTTTCATTCTTTTGAATGGCTGAGTAGAATTCCATTGTAGGTACCCCAGTATTTGGGCTGCCTAATTATTGAATGTTTGGATTTGAGGTATAACACGTTTTCCTATTGTTTTGACAGATCTTTGTTAGATCTTGCTATAAATTGCTATTTTAGAACACGGCCATTTAATAAGGGACAATTTTAATTTTATTTTCTACCTTCCAGATTGAATAACGGTGATATTTATAGAAATGCGAGAAGCACTTTTGAGAGTTTTTTGAATGAGTTTGAAAGTTTAAAACATTGTACACATTAATTTTAAGCCCTGTATTTCTCAAGCGATGGCTGAAAGATTTGTGAACTCTTGAAATCTAGGGCTTATTTTACTCTCAAATTTGACCCTTCATGGCAATTCTTGAGAGTTGATGGGCCTGGCAGTGCAGTAAAGATCAAATGAGAGCATTGACAGGAGCCTTCTCCATGCAGAACCTCTCATTTTGTTAATGCTCCTAGAATAACCTGAAAGGCCTGGGATAAAATGTAGCCATGTCCACATCCGCCCTTGTTTTATCCCCCTTCTGTGAAGGGCTGTCTCAGCAGTCCTCTCAGCCAGCAGTGCTTTGGGCATTTTTGGCTCCACAGTCCCCTCTCGGTACTAGACAGTCCCCGTCATTACAGGATGTTCAAGTTCTGGCTTCCAGGCATGAAATATCACGAGCAGCACATCCTAGCAGTATCCGTGGTGACAGTCAATCACCGATCTGGCTTGTGTTATTGAAGAAATGTTGAAAACATTTAGTCAGTCTGATCTGCTTCTATTTGAGTTGGACTGGAAGAGTCTTACCTTCTAGAATAGGTTTTAAAGTCTTTGCATTCTAGTTACTAGAATGAAATTGATGGCAGTCCTTGGTCCCACCCTTGTTTCTTGACAGATCTGAGGATCTGGGGATATTATTCGAAATGTGAGAGGTCAGCAGAAAAGAAACACGCCCCCAACACAAAGGATGAGCATTGAGTCATCTCTTTGATTCATTGTGCCCCTTCTCTGGGTACCAGAGGACCAGACAGGTGATGTCCCAGCCTATATAGTGAGCACGATGCTGACCTTAGGCTCTGCATTTAGTTAGGTACACTTATAGAGATCATTACTGAGGTTTTTTTTTTTTTTAAAGAAAAGATGTTTTGAAAATATAAAAGGGAAACTGAGAATTTGTTTGAGAGCAAATGTTTCTTCCCTAGGGAACTAATAATGGCAATGTTATCTTTTATTAGTCCTCTCTTTTGAAAAGATTAATTTAGTCAAGTTTAAGACCACTGGGGAGGCACTCTGTGTCAGTTAAGCACAAAGGCTTTGGAATCAAACAGGCCTGATTTAATACCCACTGTCCAACCTGGGGCAAATTACTGCATCTCTAAGCCTCAGTTTCCACATCTGTGAGATTGTGATGATATTGCCTATCATTCTCAAAGACAGGGACTTCCTGTGTAGCTTCTAAATGGTAGGATTCAAGCCCCTATAAGTGCAATACAGTAGGTTTTGAAAAGTTACAGAGTATTCTAGGTGGAGAGGAGATGTCAGTTTGCAATGCAAAGGTCTTTCTGTATAAATATTTTTTGTTGTCTAAAAAGATCCTGGAAGAAAGGACCTTAATCTTTAAGACACCAGTGACTTGGTAAGAATTTTTAATTTAAAAGAAATACACACATTTATACATCATTTTGTACTCATGATTTTGTATTCTCTGTTTTAAAGAGGATCTTTCAAATTGTCTAAACTTTATGTCCCGTGAAACCTGGATCCACCCCTGCTTACTGTTTTGGCAGTAAGTAAATAAATGTGAGAAATGGTTAGTGTGACCCTCAAAATGGGCAGTAGACAGAAAAAAGACAGTATAGACTTATTTATTGTGGTAGCAAAAGATTAGGAACAGCAGAGGTGTCCTGGTTAAGTAGGTTTATGGTATATCTATACTATGGAAGATCCACCAATAGAGAATGATAAGTACTCTGTATGCCAATAGGGGGAAAAGAAATCACGAGGTTACGTGGTTAAGTGAACACAAGGTGAAATACTGTGTATATAACATGCCACCTTTTGCGAAAGAAATGGAGAGAAATGAGAATATCTCTGTATATTTGTGCAAAGAAATATTAGAAGTATAGTGGCAGTGGGGCTGGTAGAGTATATACTTTTTAAAACATATTGAATTTTGAACCATGTCAAAATATGACCTAGTAAACAAAAGAAATGACTCAACAAACTTAATGAACTGTCAATAAATCAAAGCCATTTTATTTTTCTGGGCTCCAAAATCACTGCAGATGGTGATTGCAGCCATGAAATTAAAAGACGCTTACTCCTTGGAAGGAAAGTTCTGACTAACCTGGGCAGCATATTAAAAAGCGGAGACATTACTTTGCCAACAAAGGTCCATCTAGTCAAGGCTGTGGTTTTTCCAGTGGTCATGTATGGATGTGAGAGTTGGACTATAAAGAAAGCTGAGTGCTGAAGAATTGATGCTTTTGAACTGTGGTGTTGGAGAAGACTCTTGAGAGTCCCTTGGACTGCAAGCAGATCCAACCAGTCCATCCTAAAGGAGATCAGTCCTGGGTGACTGATGCTGAAGCTGAAACTCCAATACTTTGGCCACCTGATGGGAAGAGCTGACTCTTTTGAAAAGACCCTGATGCTGGGAAAGATTGAGGGCAAGAGGAGAAGGGGACGACAGATGATGAGATGGTGGGATGGCATCACCGACTCAATGGACATGCGTTTGGGTGGACTCCAGGAGTTGGTGATGGACAAGGAGGCCTGGCATGCTGCGATTCATGAGGTCGCAAAGAGTCGGACGCGACTGAGCGACTGAACTGAACTGATGAAAGTTATCAAACGTAGCTCAAAGTTGAGAAGAGCAGGAAGAATCCTCTGGTATCCAACACCTGGCTTCAGTACTCAGCAGCCTTTGGCCAATTCTCAATTCATCTCTCATTCCCCTCCCTGCTTTGGAGACTCTTATCATTATTGATGCTGACTTTTGTTCTTGAGTGAAATTAGTGCTTTCCATATGCACATCTTATCCTTCCTTTAGAGAGTAGCCTTTATTCCACAGGCTAGGGGCATTATGAAGAAAAGACTTTCAACTAAACAACTGAAAAAAATGTGTGAACAACAGCTTCGAACCTTCCAGCATCAGATAGTCTAGTTGTTAAGAAGAGGATCTCTAAGATCAGTTGGCTTGGTTGAGGGCTTCCCTAGTAGCTCAGCTGGTAAAGAATCTGCCTGCAATGCAGGAGACCTGGGTTTAATTCCTGGGTTGGGACGATCCCCTGGGGAAGGACTCGGCTACCCACTCCAGTATTCTTGGGCTTCCCTGGTCACTCAGACAGTAAAGAATCTGCCTGCAATGTGGGAGACCTGGGTTTAATCCCTGGGTTGGGAAGATCCTCTTGAGAAGGGAATAGTTACCCACTCCAGTATTCTTGCCTGGAGAATTCCATGGACAGAGGAGCCTGGCGGGCTACAGTCCATGGGGTCACACAGAGTCGGACATGCAACTTTCACTTGGTTGAGATTCCCAGGCTAATTTTCAAGCTCTGGGACCTTGGTCAGGTTGCTCAACATCTTAAAGATTCATTTTTTTTTAAAAGAGAGATACAGGTATAACCCACTTCATCTCTCTCTCTTTTTTTTAACAAGTTCACTTTCTAGACTTTTTAAAATTATATATGTGTATTTATTTATTGGCCTTGGTGGGTCTTCATTGCTGAAAGGACTTTTCTCTAGATGCAGAGAGTGGAGGCTACTCTGTAGTTAAATGTGCAGGCTTCTCATTGCAGTGGCTTCTCTTGTTGTGGAGCACAGACTCTAGGCACTTCAGTAGTTGCTCTGAGGAGTGCGGAATCTTCCTGGATCAAGGATCAAACCCATGTCTCCTGCATTGGCAAATGGATTCTTTATCACTGAGCCACCAGAGAAGCCCTCTTCATCTTTTTTTTGTGGAATCGGATGAGACTCTTTGTATCCAGTGGTCTTCCAACAGCTGCTCGCACATGATTGGCACACAGGAAATACCAGCAGCTGCCACTGCTAATCTTATTACTGTTACTGCTGAAACTCCTACTGGCAGACTTGCACCTCCCAGCCCTTCCACCGCCTGATCATATGGACCTCAGATTTGTCTTGCAAGAGGTTCAGCTCTGAGGGGCTTTATGGGTTATAAAAAGGAAGTGCTTACTAATTGTGGCACTTGGAAGCTAACTTGTTATTACTTTTGCTGTAAGCTAATTAAAAAGTACAATGAATTTTTTCTGTTTTGTGATGAAACAGTCATTTCTCACTAAGAGAGTCAAGATGGCAGTGAACTGCTTTTGAAATGCTGAGGGAAGTCAGCCCCTGGCTTATTCTGCCACCTGGTACTCTGCCAGTCATTCTGTCCCAGTATTCCTGTCAGATTAATGACCCCAGCTCCTTCTCTGGGCCCCAGGGAGCATATTGCCCTTTTTCTTTTTTCTCAGTTGCCATCCCCTG